ACAACATTTGGTACCCCAAGTTCAACTTCAGCAAGTAAATAGTGTGTGGGGCATTGCACTGTCTGGTCTCTTGGACAGTAAAGGGGAGCTGGAGGAGTGGAAGGAGATGCAACAGATCTCTCTCTGTTCCCCTGTAGGCGAAACATCCTCCCCACTATCAACTCTACCTACCTCAAGAACTGCATCTATGACTCCCAGACAGATCCCTTCTGCCCTATCTTTCGTTTAGGGAAAATCGTTGAAGCTGCAGAGCAGAACTTCCAGGAAATGGCTGTGGAGGTATTTGGCAGACCCTTCTGTTGGGCCTCAGCTGTGTAGAAGAGGAGTGGTAGGTGGTTGTCCCCCCCTGCCTCGTGGCATGAGCCACAGGACACAGAGTAGCTGCAGAATGGAGAGCTGCTCTGGCCAGAGGGACTGGAGTCAATTCTACTTAGCAAGTATTTGGCCTTGGCTTGTTTGGGTGGGGTTATGTGCAAGGTCCTTCTGTAGCAGGGGGAAGAGTGTTTGACTGAGACTGAGACAAGGGCCAGTAAGTCAGGGTCCCGGTCAGCAGAGAGCCTAGTGCTGGGCTGGCTGGGCACTTGGACTGCTCACCTTCTCCTCTTCTCCACCTGGCAGGGTGGAGTCATGGCGCTGCAGATCAACTGGGACTGCAACCTTGACAGAGCTGCTTCCCACTGTGTGCCAAAGTACTCCTTCCGGCGCCTTGACAACAAGGACTCTGCCCACACTGTCTCGCCTGGCTACAACTTCAGGTAATGTGGCTATGGAGGGCACCGGGTGTCCCTGCGGCTCAGTCTGCCACTGGCACAGTGTTACGGGCTGCCTGCACTCCTCTGACAGTGGTGGGTAGTCCTTGGACTTTTGATGGTGCTGTAAAACTTGGAGAATTTCTCTGATGCTGTAAAACATAGAGCAAACCACAGCAGAGGGGGAAGGTCAGTGAAGCTCCACTGATTGCATCAGTGTCTGAGTCATATTTGCGTCAGTATTTGGGTGGCCATTTGGGCCAGCCTCCCGTGGCATGGCAATGTGAGAACTGACTGTTTCAGGATGTGCTGATAGGGCAGTATTTGAGGGGGCTGGGGTGCGGGGGTGGGAGACTGAAGCACCTCCTTCACTGTGCATGAGGGAAAAACTGACCTCTGGAAAGTGGCTCTGTCAGTTGAAGACCGTATCAGCACCAGGAGTATTCTTCTGGCATACACCACCACATAAACATTCTGGCCAGTACAGGTAGGTCCAGCACCTCCAGTAAAACCGCCAGCACAGAGCCACGTAGCTGGTTGCATCCAGACTCACAGCTGTAATAATATGGATTGGCTACCTTGCCAAGGTCCTTGCAACAGTCCTGCTCATGAGGAAACGTGGCTCAGGGCTATGCCTGTTTCTAGAATCACAAACTCTCACTTAGCACAGGGGATCTCTTTTGGTGGAACTTGAATGAATTCACTGAGAAGCTGCTGTCATGCAGACAGCACAGGTGTGTGTTTGGGAGGTGCCAGGCCTGCAGGTATTGGGGTGTCAGGTGAGACCGGCTGGAGGATATCGCAGCCCGGCTGGTGCGGGCTCTGAAGTGCTCTTGCTAATTCCAGATCGTGGTGCAGGCCTTTACCGATCCTTCCTCTTCTCTTCTGCCCTCTTCTCTGCTTCCTCCTGGCTTAGTCAACCATGTGGCGGAGTAAGTCTGATCTCACTTACTTGTTCTCATCCCTTTTCCCTATCATTTGCCTGCGAGTCACATTGTGCGGGACAAGGAGCAGCCTTTGTGTGACAGGCTGAGCTGTGCTGCGTCCCTCGCTGCCTGCTCCCGGCTCTGCCCTCTCGTGGCTGCCTGCACTCCTGCAGCCTCCCGCTTGCCTCTGTCTGAGGGGCTGATTCTCATGTGTCGCTGAATTTCTTCCTGTCTGTCCTTCTGCTCCCCTGCTAAAGCTAACTTCCTCCCCTTCCTATGCTTTGCAAGTTTCCTGATTTGGCTTGTGTTAACTGCTGTCTTAAATTTGCCTGTTCTGGGCTTTTCTCCTATATGTGCTTGCCTGCATGAAATCTCCCTCCATCACTTGGGGCTTGTCTCTGAAAGTACCAATGTTCAGCCCATCCTCTTGGGATGGAGGACACACCTGGATGTTGCATGATCGCATAAGCAACCTAAAAATTTCCAGCTAAGCTCTGACCTATCTTTGCTCCAGGTTTGCGAAATACTACAAGGATAGTAATGGCACTGAATCACGGACGCTTGTCAAAGCTTATGGCATCCGCTTTGATATCATAGTGTTTGGAAAGGTAGGGTGACTTAATTCCTGGAGGTCTTGCAGTGAGGGCTTTCAGAGATGCTGAAAAACATATTCACCTTTGTAACTGTCTTTTAGGCAGGAAAATTTGATGTAATTCCTACAATGATTAACATCGGCTCTGGCTTAGCGCTCTTTGGCGTGGTAAGTGACACTGTCTGTACTTAGACTCAATTCTGGATTAGTGCCTCAGTTCTGAGGCTCATTGTCTTAAACTCTTTCAATCTCTACTAGGCAACAGTGCTGTGTGACATTGTTGTTCTGTATTGCATGAAGAAGAAATACTACTATCGGGAGAAGAAGTACAAATATGTGGAGGATTATGAACTGGTAAGCATCAGTGAAGACAGAGTGAAGTCAAAGTTGCTTCCTCCTCTGACTCTGCAGCGATTCTGAAACAGGATTTAGAAAGTCCACATCAAACAGAGATTTTTGAACCACAGCTCTGAGAGAAATTTGTCTTCCTCAGAGAAGCTCATTTTTACCTCAAAGCTGTTGCAGGGAGGAGCACTGGAAACAAATATTGTCATGTTTCCTGGGCAACCACTCGTGGAGAGGGAAATGTATGTTCAAGAACTTGTCATGCCACCACTGCGCCTCTTTTTTTGGGTTGCAGTCCTTGGCAGTTGCCTTCTGAGAGCTGCAGACAACAGCTCTGTCCTCATCAAATCCTTCCTTCTTGGCTTTTGGGGGTTCCTACTGCTATGAACAAACCCACTCAATGGGTTGGTATTTTCTGAGACCAGTATGCTGACAGCCACAGCTTTGCCTCCCTTCAGATTCCAAGTGATCTGTTTGGCCAGTAGAAGGATTTAGTGGTGTAGTGGGGTAGCGTGACTGCTGCTGAGGGTAGAGCTCAGCCCTGTGCTTGGTGGGAAGTGTTGCTGCGGAGGGTGGATTTCTGAATCAAAAGACCTTGTGGCACTGGAAATGTAAAGTCTGTGTAGCAGAGAGTAGCTTGTCTGTGCAGAAGGTTTTATGTGAGAGGAAGGGGGAGAAAGAAGAGTTTTCTGGCAGAGAACTGTAATCTCTGATCCTTGCAGGGAGTCAGTGAGACATACGGAACAAACTCCTGACCTCCTGCTGCTACAGCACCAACTGCTGCTGTGAACTGCTGCTGTGACTCTTACTCTGACCCTGCCAAGAGACCCACCCCCTCTCCGTTGGAAGGAAGAGGGGCACGAAACTGAGGAAGGAACCTTCTTTACTACTCTTCACTACTTTTGCTGGCTGGAGCCAACCCCAGAGAGAAGAATTGGGTCTGCTCCTTGTCTGCTGTCTTTCCAGGTTGATTGCACTAAGCACAGAGGGAGGATTATGCTTTTATGCCAGGCCTCTGCACTGGGTAAGCCTGGGACAGGGACTGCTCTGGCATTGTCATTCTGACAGTCCTCCTTTCCCTGAGCTCACCGGTAGCAGAGACCACAGGGTAAAGACCACAGGGTAACAGGCACAGTTTCTCCCTTACAGTGAACATGGCCCCTGCCAGGTGTTGCCTAACCTTGGGAGAGCAGCTCCGTACTGTTGTCAAATCACTTTTCCTTGCCCTGACCGATTCTGATGCTTAGGTGAGCCTGTGCCTACTATTTAATCATGTCTCCAAGCTCCAGTGGCCACAGACTGAGACAAAGCAGTGTCTGGTTCCATTGTGCTATGGTAAATGGCTTACTGGTTACAGAATTTTTTTTCTGTTTTGTCTAATTTTTATGGTACTACTTTAAAATTTACTTTCTTTTTAATAAAATATTACTCTCAGCCCTCATGAATCCTGCAAGCTGGGTTTTGCTTGTTTATTTTTCCCCAAGGCCTGTGAAGGTTAGGGTCAGTGAACTGTCTTCATTTTACACAGATAGCAACTGTTCCTGGAGAGCTAGCAAAGCCAGTACTGCTCTCTGCTTTGCCTCTTGCTTCTCTCAGCAAGAGTGCTGCTGCAACTGCAGCTTCTGCTCCACCTTGATTCTCCTAACACTATGTCTGTGTCTGTTGCATTAAAACTCTATCCAAGGGAAAAGACTTGAAAGTTAGAGGCCAGGGTGGATAGCCTGGCATGGCCTTAGCCAAACGCTAGTACCAACTGGTCAGAAGAACAGATCTATTACTCCCTGGCATACCACCACCCCAACACCCTGTATCTGGGCTGCTGCATTTAATGGGTTTACACAAGTTGATTTAGGTGAATTTGTTGGCTTTTATCTTCACATGGCCTTGAGCATCTCTAGTGATCACACTGGCATACAAGGTACAGCTCTTCCCTTTCTCTGAACCTTTTCTAGTGTTACAGAGCCCTGGGACCTATTCCATACCTCCAGCATCCTGGCTGGGGCTTTGCTGCCTTTTTTTTCCAGCAGCGCGATGGGTTTGCTACCGTATTATCATTTTGTTTTATTCTTTATTTGCCTGCTGCTGAGCACTAAGCTGAGTGTCACAACTCAAAACGGTGCCTTTCCAAGAGTCAGCGCGCTAGTCTGTGCATGTGAATGGCTCAATTTGGATTATGCAGTGGCTAGAGCCACTGTGGTCTCATCCTTGCCCAAGGTCCCCAGTAATGGTAGAGCACCAGACTTCACTAAGACAGGAGGGTGCTTTCAGGCTCCTCTTCCAAGAAGCAAACTCTCATAGCTTGATAAAGACCAGTCAAATAGGATAATGGTTCCACTTGATCAACTAACTCTGGGTTTGGTTGCATGTCATTTATTTCAACTTGTACAGAGAAGCTTGAACAGCTGTGTGGAAAAACACTTAGTAGTTTGGTTTGTTTTTTTTTTTCCTCCTTTCTTCTTAGGTAATATAATTTAAAAGAAGTAAATACACAGTATTTAAACTTGATACACCTGATAAAGTTAAATGCATAATAAAGGGGTAGGAATGAAACACAAGCCTCGGTCATTAAACAAAGTATAAAAATCAGCAATAGTCCAGGACCTTAGAAAAGAAACAGATCAATTGCCTGATAGGTAAGAGGGGACCACCAAGAAAAACTACTCAGGACAAGAGGCCTGGTTTCCCCTTAGCACTTTCTGTGTGCTTTCAGAGCCAAAAAGGCTTAGTACCCAGCATTGAGCCTGCAGTCAGCACTGGGCTTGCTTGAAGGGAAGGGAGTTGGGGAAATCATCTATAGCCCAGTTCCAAGGCACCAGCACCACTATAAGAAAAAAAAGCTAGCTTTACTACTAAGGAACAGCAGCTAGGGAACTGAGCAGATCCATATATACAGTACAGCTTCTCTAACAGGTCATGCATTTAGATAGATCTTCCTCACACAGCCACGCTTTATGCTTTCAACAGAACTAATCAACAAGAAAAATCTACATCGAGTTTCTTTCAGAAATGTGCATTTGGCTGCAGCCCTACTGGAGCTGGCACTAAAAGACAATTGTTTTGGAGAGCGCCTTAGGGAAGTGCTGAGCTTTAGGATGCTGACGAACCAAGCACGGGCTAGCCATAAGACACTGATCTATGGTAATATCTGAGGCCCAGTAACTATGTGGCTGGGCATCAAGGAACTGGTACAGCTTATTCTGTTTAGAAGCTGTGTTGCACCTGGCAAGCCTGTTTGGTAAATGTAAACTGTCTCGCTAGGCACCTGACAAATCACAAACCAGAGATACGCAGCACAGAGCATCTCTACAACTCACCTTTAACAAAACACACCACACACATTACTACGCACCAGCTATAAATAATCAGATCCCCTTTTTTTTTTTTTTTTGCAGAACAAGTCCATTTACAAGGTTAGAGAACCAAGCTGCCCACTCGCACGCATTTCCACAATGAAAAGTCCTCTTTAGGAAAGGGGGAGCAGGCAGCTATAGTAGTGCTGGCACCCACATTACCTGTTTGGTTTTCCCATAGCTGAAGCTGCAGGGCTTTGGCATAGCCTTGGACTAAAACGGGAGGAAAACTGTGCGTGTCTTATGGCTCCAAACTCCATAGTAGTGCTCCTAAACCACGAACCATCGTCACTGGCTTTGGAGAGAGGCCAGCAGCACAATGTTTCGGTAATAAATAGCGATTTAGGGGGAGCATGGCTTCAAGTGATCGAAAGATGTAAGGGACAGTTTGTGTAGGCACCTGCGCGCTTGCTAACGCTACGCCAGCTTTAACAAAGACCCATCCTAACCAGAAATTACCAGACTAGGTCCAACTACAGCAGGGCCAAGGACCTCAGTGCTCTGCTGCTTGCAGTGCCCAAGATCAAGGAAGACAAGGGGACAGTCACTTCCTAAAGGCAGGGCACTCACGGCCAGGGTTAGCAGGCAGACATCTTAACATTAACCAAAATGCTTGGGTCTCTCCTAGTGCCTTCTTCCTCAGGGCAAAGAATTGTGCCTTAGCAGTCCCTTACATGCTTGGGACATTCAAATCCTCCCCCTCTTTCAGGTACACCATCATTTTAAATGCCTTATTCAAGGTCACACCCCCATATCAGACTGAGAAGAGAAGTCAGACCTTCTCCCCCCCAGTCCCCCACTCCATACACAAAACAACTGTACTTACCGTGACCCCTTTCCCCAAGCAAACCCTGACTCTTCTCCAGCTCACCCGCAGTCTGCTGTTCTCCAGCTTTGTCCAAGCACAGAGAACTTTGGAAAGTGAGTCTGGACGTCAGAATCTCTCCCACCACACTATAGATTTTTTTTTGTCTTTTTTTTCTTACAAGCACCACATAATAATCAGAGTAATCTGACTGAAGGTGAAAGAGCTCTTCGTAAGAAACAATCCATGAATTAGGTACACACTTAATTTACTAACAAGCCTCTGATCCACAGGCATTCACAAATTACTGGTAACGAACTTGCAAAAAATACATAGCATTGGCCCCAAAATCCAGATTAAGAGTTTGGAAAACAAAAGTTTCTTTGAAAATTACTAGCTAATCTAAGTATTTCATTAAGATCTTAAATTCTAAGCAAGCCCTAAGTCTATACTTAAAAATAGCATGAGTTGTATTATTTTTAATTGTAGTAAACCATGTAATGTACATGGAAGTGAAGGATTTTACCCTGAATTTTATATTTAATATCTACCTAGATCAAGTAAAAGATTTAGAAACAAACTGTTGTTAGTGCTTCCTCTGCTGTTCAAAAGACACATTCAGCTAAACACCACCTTTCACTCCTATGTCTGCAGCAAAAATAGTTCAGACTGAACTTAAGCCCTTAAATACCTTTTCCTTTCATACACTGAATACTCAACTTACCAAGTCCTAGTCACACCAAGACCTTAGGAAAGGTGTTAATTACCTTAGGTGGTAATTAACCTCACTTTTTGAACGTCCCAAAGATGCTGTTTAATACAACTTGGCTCACAAAGGTAGGCATTCTTTAAAAAGCTGAAAAGGTGGGTTTTTGCTTTGTTCCCATGCAGTTAAAAAGGTGTCAATTAAAAACAAACCAGAACAACAGGAAATAGATGCAACAACATTTCCGGTAGGTCGTGAACTCTCAAAGTGCGCACGTGTAGTTTTACTGTTGCGTATGGCAAAAGCTTCACCCTTCTGTGTGTGCCCACCGACTACACGATGGGCGTACAACACCCCTGGGACACTGGCGTTAGTCCCCAGAAATTATTTGGCATTAAAACCAGGTAAAAGCAGTTCCAAATGCATTTTTGTTTGACTGTTGGGTTTTTTTTTTTTGCAAAGCATTGTTGCTGCTCAACACGATAGCTCACCTCTCTGCTATCAGCCAGCACCTTCCCACAAGAAGTCAGCAGTCCAAGCGATCGGAGATGTTCGATGTTTATGACAAGTAGTCGGATGTCTTATAACATGCTGCTAATGTAAGCTCTACATCCAGCATCATACTGAAATAGCGCCATGTCATGCTGTGTTTGGTGTAGGCTCTGTTAATGTCGCTCATCCTCAGCTGCACACTTTAGTAACATACCCCGGACCAAGTTGCTCAACAGAACCATAAAGTCGATGCTCATGAAAGAAGTTCCTCCTCTCCCACATTGGGCAAGTCGTTGCATTTCAGATTATCTTCACTGCCTTGTTTCCTGCTTTAAAAGGAAATAAAACAGTTGCTGAGCTACTTGGAAAAAGGCAAAGCAGGCAATGAGACACCAGCATCTGCCCCTTCCCCGCCACAGGACCTTTGGGACACTGAGCACATGTCGTCTCCCCCCAGCTCCCCTGTAACAGGCTGGAAGTGCCATAAAAAGATGCTTTTCAGCCCATCGGAGGGGCAGGATATGCCATGTCACAAAAATCATCCCACAAAGCGGTTGCAGGTCAGACAGA